GGGAGGACCCTTGGGGAATTTGGCAGAGGGGCATGATTCTTCTGACATCCTCAGCTGGCTTGCTAAGAGGACTGAGCTGCTAATCACTGTGTGTTTTCTCAGGTTCACATTAGCACCCTCACCCGATTGTCTTCAGAGCTACCTGCTGTCTATTCTTCAGCTGCCTTGAATCAGGGAAAAGACAAAGTGGGAAGCCAGGGACTCTGAGTCAGTGCCCCTCCCTTAGGAAGGTGGATGAGGCCCGCCCAGCTCCTTCCTCCTTTGTGAAGAGACTCCTCAGCTCACTCCCCCAGGGTCTGTCTCAGGGACAGTCTGGCTGGCCTTCCTGGGACTTAATTTGTAGAAAGGTGTTGAACTACACTCATCCTTCTGCCTCTGCCTCCCCAGGGTTGGGATTACAGGTTACAGATGTGAGCCAGTGCCTAGCTCACAAAGCCTTCTGCCTTTTGGCATGTCCCATAGTCAGAGTTCCCGCACTCCGATAACAGAGATGCTCTGACTAGACAAAGTTGGCAATCACAGGACACTGAACTTGAGCTGGCCTCTCCTTGTTGCCACAGCAAATCTTTGGGGAATTAGTCTTCAGTGGACAGAGGGTTTATCCCTTCCCTGAGACCAATTAACTAAGCAAAGTCAGACCTCTCCAGAATGCCTGCTTTCCTTCGATAAAATGGACTTAGAATAGGAACTTACAGAAAATTAAAAATATACATTTGAAAGGAACACTTTTTAATAAGTATTTCCATTTTAATGGTTATAGCCAGTTTTAGCATTTTTGCATGTTTCTTTCTACACACAACCACACACACACACACACACACACACACACACACGATGTATAAATGTGAACTCTATTGCATTCTTTGGTTTTAGTATTTTCCCATTTTCATTTGTGACATATACTCACCTAAAGTAAACAAACATTGTGACCTCTTTGGGGGTGAGCTTCATAGGTAATTGAAATAATCATTTATTAAATCCTAGAAAGCTGATGGACTAATTCAAGGGTAGCTTTAACCTGTGTGACTGGAAGAAGCTGCCATCAATTCACTTGGCATCTTAATTTTATGCATCATCCCAGTATATACTGACCAACTGAAATCCAGATTACTGGACCCAGTGAATGACAAGTCTCTCAATCCAAGATGTCATGGACTTCAGGACTTCGCTACACCCAAATGCTAGGTAGTACTCAGCAACAGTGGATTTGCAGGAATAACCCAGGAGTACCACATTCTCTTTCCAGCTCACTCAAGCTGTCCCTACATCTGGGGTAAGTTCCTTTGAGATGCTAAAGAATATGCTAATCTAATCTTATTTGGGAAACTTTCGCAAATGCTAAGATGTCTTTCTTCTCCCACTCTGGGGCTTACGCTTCTGCAGTGTCTATTAGCATTAGAAGGGACAATTCTGTAGCCAGGCTTTGCCACCTAAAAAAGAGTATGACTCTTGGGCAGTCACCATAACTCTTGGGCAGTCACCATATCTGTTTCTTTCCTCCCAGAAAGACTAGGGAGCTCAAATGATCAGAAAGCCAATATGCAACCTCAGCTCAGTATAAAAACAAACAAACAAACAAATATTTTCCAAATTAGAAATCAATGCCTCCTACCCCCAGGGATCTTCTGGCAGCTCAAGGTGTAAATCTGGCAGAACCTTAGATGGGTGCAATTTGAAGTATCAAGTTAGCTCCTTGCAACATTACTGTTTCCATCCTGTTTGGTTGTGTTCCAACTACCCAAAGCGAACTCAGTCCACCAATTTTCTTTTCTAGTGATTGATATGGAATGTTTTATTATGGTGGCCAAGCATGTGAATAGGTTCAGTGACTGTCTCATTTCTCAGTGGCTGGCTGGCCTGTAACTCTGAGCAATACGACCATTCTGTCTCTCTGGCTTCTTCTCTCTGTAATGAAGTACTAGAGACAGAACACCATTACAGACCCATAGTCCCTTTTCAGCTTTATATGGAAGGTGTTTGTGCACTGGGCATGAATATATGTGAATGAGCCTTGATTTGTGCATTGACTATCCTTTATACCCCCATAGCTGTCAGAGCTCCACTGAATTTATTTCCCATACTTTCAAAATGGGAATGCTAAATCTTACTCCTAAAAAAAATGTTGAGGATTAATTGACTAGGGCTCAAAAGCCCCAGGAAATAGTGCATACATATGATGGCACTGTATTTTATATTTCCCTTCACTATCTAAACCTGGAATAAAGGGTCTGAAAGTGTTCCAGAGATTAATCACTCTATAATCAATACCTAATTTTAAAAAGAATTATATCAAAAGACAAGGGCTAGAAATATGCCAGTTTCCTCTGTATGTGAATTCTAGTTGACTCATAGCCTAAATGTCTAGGGCATTACCTACCCCCTCCCTTCATCCCCTCCATGAATCCTCCATGAGTTAGATTAATATTACTATGGGTTCGTTCCTTGTTGTTTATGATATTAAAACTATTTGATGAAGATCAGAACACTGACAGAGATCTAGGTGTTTAACATGTTCTATATGCAAAAAGAGTAAACATCAAATATAAATCCAAGTTAAATAGCTTAAAGTGCACTATTTATCATGTCTTACTTTATTGCTAATCTCACATATATTGCTCATCTAACAGGGAAAAGGCCTCACACATCCTTAAATGGTCTACAAACCAAGTACCGAATGAGTAATATTTAAGTTCAGCATTCATAAAGTTAGGAATAGAATTACAGAGCTAACAGAGACCATAGAACTGTCAGAGAAATAAATGCCCAACTGTCTCTGCTCAAAAACAAGACAGTGGAAGTTGAGAGAGGTAGAACAGCCTAGTCACTCACGCGGTCACTGACGGAGGGCTGTCTGGAAACCACGGTCTTTGACACAGACTAAGGAGGACAAGGGAAAGAATGTAGAAGGGAAGGATGGAAAGTTGGCCCCTCTCAGATGCCAGGAAGGTAAATCCCTCTGGTGCCAGAGTAGTATTTAGGCCACCATGTTCCTGTCTGACTTGAGAGATGCTCTATCCTGAGCGTGTGCCAGCATTTCCAGTGTTCCGCGGGCTCCCGCGCTGCCACTTCCTAGAGTGATCTAAGGCAATGCACTGCTGGAACAGGAGCACGGGTGCTCTGTCTTGGGTACTTTCTCATATCTGTACCTTTAGCTGAAGCTTAGCAATGTGCTTTTACAAAGTCCCCAAATCCCCTAGCTGTCCTGCTCTCCAGCACGATCTGAGTATCTGTCCCGAGGACTCATGGTTTTAGGGTCCTGTAAATTCCCTGAAGAGGAAAGTGAAGTTTACATTTCAGTCCACAGCCTGCATTAAGTCATCAAGGATGCCGGTGATGGAAACAGCTAGGAACATCCAGGAAAAGAGGAGAAAAAAGATGCACTGAAAGGAAGAAAGACCCAATGGACCTAGAAAAGCTCTGTGCATAATAGAGGAAGTAGCACTATCACGAAACACGCAGTTGGAGAAAGAAATGGAGTACTAAGATTCGGCCATTGACACCTTCCTCTGTCTCTGCATCAATTTGCCCAAAGGCAGCTACAAACCGACTCTTGCAGGTCCTTTTCAGAAACACAGTGCCTTCCTGACTCATTCTCAGTGCAGGACAGGTTAGAATGTCATATGCAGCAGCAGAGCTGCTACCTACAAAAACAAAGAAACATGCTTTTCACCAAACATGCTTTGCACCAACTTATATTGAATTCCTGAAAATGAATAAACAAACAAAAACAACAAAAACAGGCCCCCCCCCTTTTTTTTTTTTGAGACAAGAGTCTCATTTGACCTAGGCTAGCCTTGACCTTAAGGATTGTTGTAAACCCTGATCATCCTGCTTAAAACTCCCAAGAACCAACCTTGAGGACATGTCTACACATTGCTGAGAATGGAAACTAAACTACCTGTACATGAGTCAAGCTCTTAACTGACTGAGCTGCAGCCTTAGTCTCAATCTCCACCATTCCTCATCTGTCTGAACTGCTGCATGCTGTAAAGGGAGTAAGAGGGGCTCAGACCACTGAACTGACACTCGGATCCAGATGCCCTTGGTTAAGATACCATGAAAAGGGTGAAACCCTACATGGCATCTGTCCCTGTCTACTGCTCTGACTAAGATGCTACAGAGGTTTCCTGACAAAGTTTTTGGCTGGGAGAAGCTGCTGGACCCAAACAGGCAGAGGGTAGGTACAACTATCACTGCATCCGTAAGGGCCGGTGCCAGCTACTCCCAGCTAGTTACATGCTAAGGGAAGTGCCACAGAATCCTACTTTTACCTCCCACTTTAATATTTGGGGAATTTATCTATTGCACAATGTGTGCAGCCCTTCCATGAACCCAACAACAAGAAGAGTTTGCCAGTTACAATTCTGAACTAAAAGTATGCTTACATTTTCATGTGATAATATAAACCATGAATTCTTTGTGTTATATGTCTGTCTGTGTTTTTGTCTGTGTCTGCATATTTGTGTGTAGGTACATGCATGCCATGGTGCATGTATGGAGATCATATGCCAACCATGGGTACAGGTGATTCATCTTCCGCCATGTTTGAGACAGGGTCTCTCATTCACCCCAGCTTTACATTAGACTGTTTTTTTTTGGGGGGGGTCTCCTGTCTCTGTTTCCTATCTGTTAGGAACATTGGTCTTATGAATTGCTACTGTGCCAAGCTCAAAGGGTTCAAACTCTTCAGTCTGCACACCTGGCGATCTCTCCAGCCCACAGAGTGGATTCTAAAGTCCTTTCTGAACTAGATCAAGGCACAAGATCAGTATTTGGTTGCGGATTTGGGACCATTAGTCATGTGCTTTTCTGGACTACTTGTCTAGATTCAGGCTCCAGCCTTTAACGGCAGTCTTCCAAGGAGAAAGTGGGAGCATAATGTAACCAGGTAACAAATATTTCTGATAAGAATGTGTTACTAGATTTTGAAATAAATATAGCATGAGTAACATTAAAAAAATGATTCAGTATAAACCTCTTAAATGTCAAAAGCCAGGATGTAATGACTTGGATATTTTATTTTGACTTTACATGCGGTGTTAAAAACCCAAAGTACATATTATTTACACATCCACAATACAAGTTTACAAGATATCTATACATGTTAAAGTACTCTATAAAACAGTATAGAGCCACTTCACTTTAGGGTTATTTTTTTATGCCGTACCATTAAAAAAGATACAATCTGTGTTTACCTTTGCACAAATGGATAAAGCACTTAAAATTAAATTAACAGAATAGAGACTAGAATCCATGTTAGAAATTTCAACATAAATACTGATAGAACTCACAGTACACTCTAAGGCAGCACAATGTTACAAAATGTTATCGGGGGTCACACTGAGTTACCACACTGGGATTAATATTGGTAAGGTAAATGCAAACACGTTGTTGGTGGCAGACTGTGTAGTGCTTATTGTTGGTTGGTTTAATTGATTAAATTGTAATATTTTAGTTGCAAACCTGAAGTAGTTTGAGAACAGGTGTTTCAGCTTTTGAGTTTCCAAGAAATCACAGGGAATTGTTTTTTCCAAAAGAATGTTCTTGAATGAAAAGACCAACTCCAGCAGTATTCTACATCCTGTACAAAAATGATCTGGTGTTCTGCACCCATTCCTTCCCCCAAGTAATGCATACCATTGGCACTGTCCCGAGATACTGGTTGAACTTTCCCAGACTGGGTCAGGAGCCTTCCTCAGCTGTGGTAATTTCTAGATTAGGTTGGGTAAATGACTGGGTGATGGGCAGTTGGTTAACCAAAGTCGTCAGTAGACCGCACATCATCAGCCATCAGTGGGCTCTGCCAAGCTACACAGAAATGACTTTAGACATGGTTTCCACAGGTGCCATGTTCCCTGGGAACCCTCATCTGATTTCACATTATCAGAAGAGCAGGGGTGGAATGTTTATCATGGCAAGGGTGGGTACTGCTTCTGGTTCTTGTGTGTGTGTGTGTGTGTGTGTGTGTGTGTATGTATGTATGTATGTATGTGTTCGACAACAAATTGCTCAAGGTTGCTTTATGACTTTGTAAGAAGTCTTCAGGTGCTGGCTGAAAAACATTTATGACTGGCACATGGGAAATGGTGCACTATAGTGAAACACTCAACATATTGCAGAACTTCTACCACTCTCATGAATAAGGCACAAAATGCACAGATCCAGGTAAACTCACATGTGGTATTTACAGTTTACTGTCATTGCCTGCATGACTCAGGAGAGAATCCTCAGAGCAAAACACAGAGGACAGGGTGCCACCACTGATGGGGTTTCAGACCCTCTCTGGGAAGCCAATTGTAATTCCTTTTCTGTATCTTTCTCTTGTCCTCTGTTTTGGTTTTCTCTTTTTGTCTTGGGGGAGGGAAGAGTTAACAGAAGAAAATGTTTGCTACATGGAAAGTAAAATAAAATAACACAATCAAAAGAAACCTTTATGAGTGTGTCCAGAGTTAAGTAGTGTGCCTCCGGCTTCGATTCACAGTGGACAGGTAAATGTTACTACTGAATACTGGTAGATATATCAAGAATACCTCTTCATATCTCTAACTTCTTAAGCTGGCAATGCTGGAATAGAAGTTTTGATGAATAGCAGCACAAGATTATTTAGAACTCTTAAATATTCTGACATTGGGTACCACATAGGTTAAGTTAATCATTTGACACTCAAAGGAGCCTTGACTTTCCTTCTTGGAGCTGAACACAATGGATTGGTATGGGAGGAAGTTAGTTGTCTTCAGTCATGCTTAGTGTAAACAACTCCATAGTACAAAAAGATGCAATGGGCACCTAAATAAACCCTAATGGATACAGAACTGTCTCAGTTATACACACACACACACACACACACACACACACACACACACACACACACACCTCTAACAGTTTTGTTGGTGGCATCAAAAAACAAAAAATAACAACAACAACAACAGAAAAAAACAAAAAACAAAACAGTGCCACATGTTGAAAAAAAATGCTACAGTTTGGATCAAAGATTGAATTTTTAGCAAACTGCTTGGTAATCTACAAGCTCATTTTGTTTTGAGACATTCCCATCTTTTCATTTTGACATTTGTGCAAGAGGCAAGGTGAATGCATACATATTAAAATGTTCACATTTAATGGGAAGACCACACATAATGGCAGTCTAAATTGAACCCATTTTCAAGTATTTGTTCAGTCTTCTGAGTACTGTGTCAGCTCTATAGACTGGTGAAGAGAGCCCTTCCAGGCTACACATCCCCTTCAGCTTCAAACAAGAGAAATGGAATGACCAGTACCTCCCTCTGTTTCAGGCCAGTACACAGAAGCCTTGCTGCAGTAGCTACATGTGGCAAGTTCTGATGTTACCAAAGTTACAGAGTTTCTTTGGCTACTTGTTTCTCTTAAAATACAAGCAGGTATCTTGTCTTGAGGTACTGCTCACAGCGACCTCTCAACAACAGGGACAGGATAAAGCCACACAGGAATAGCACACTTGAGGCCTAGTAAGTGTATTTGTTCAGTGGTCTGACAGGTGTGGTTTGAGGAACAAAGGAAGGCTTTGGTGGCACATCAGGTTTTAAGGATGGTGTCCTCTTTAGTCCCGTCCTGGGTAGGGTGCCATTACTGGTGTAGCTGCTCTGTCTAGACAGGGAAGGCTGCAGGTGGACACTCACAGGTGTTCCCTGAATATAGTCCACCTTCGCCCCTGTGGGAGTGGGCATGTATCCTCCACGGTTCATACTCTGCTGTCTGGATAACAAAACACCATTTGGTGAGTTTAAGTTTTTAGGCACAGCTGATATAGAGTGCCTCTGGGAGGAATTTTTATGATAGCCCCTTTGTCTTTCTAGAGATGTCATTGGGACCCCAGGAGTGGTGGGAACATCTACTCTCTTGGTTGGACTATTTCTGGGGAGTGTTGAAGGAGGGGAGTAGAGAGATGCCTCCCTGTTAGGGACCTTAGGTGGGACCTCAGACATAGATCCTACTGGGTCCAGCATGAGGGTTTGATGGGCCATATGGATTTCTCCCATGATGGCTTTGGGGTTACTGTTTGGGTCATTTAGATGCTTTAGGAGATCATTAAGGGTGTTTCTGGAATCCACAGAACGTCGGTGCTCCCTCTTACTGGATGACTTTGTAAGAGGGTGGTCGATGTTTTGAAGTTTCTTTTCGGCTTTGTGAGCATTAGAGTTTGAAAATGATGTATTGTAGTCATGGGTGGCGTTTGGAAGAACAATGGCGCTGGGGATATGCCCGTGACTTAATGGGGAGTGGGGAGGAGGACTAGAAGGAAAGAACTGGGGATGTTCTTTCCTGGAAGCACCGTGGCCGTGGGCCTTGTCAGAGTGGCTCTTCATGGCCTGCAGGGTCTTCTGATGGAGTACAGGTGTGGACTCTGGTGTGGGGAGAGCAGCCAGCTCTGGAGGCTGGCCTCGGTGGTCCATGACCATGGATTTTGTATCCACGTTGGGTGGCAGCTCCTTCCGACTGGTCAGCAGGTTGCTATAGAGTTTAGGAGAATCGATGTTCTGTTGGTATTCCTTGACGGGACTGTCAAAGAGACCGTTGAGCTTGGCGAAGCTTCCGCTGGAGTCTGTGCACGACTGGGCTGATTCCGCATCCTTATGCATCTTTCTGTTCTTCCGAACAAACATGTCTCGGTAGCAGTACACAGCCACGCCTGCAATGAATGCGCCCAAGACGAAAGCGGCAAACACACAGGTGATGAGGACATTCATGTGGACCATCTGGTTTGAGTCTCCTGATTGGACTTCCCACCGCACACCTGCAACAGACATGTGAAGACTTTGAAGGAGGTGCCTTCAAAAACACGGTAAATATAAGAGCTTACCCTGAACCAAAACTACCTTCGGAGGCTCCATATACCTCGCTTAAAGGATCAAGTAGATCACAAAACTTCCCATGTATCCACCCACGCCCCTGAAATCATAACACAATCTCCAGTAACAGACATGCTTGCTGCAAAAGTAAACATGATTCTAAGCTTCCACTGGCAGATATTTCTCTTTCCTTTTCCACAATCTCTTTCAAGCAATTGTTAGGAATTTAAAAGTTTCTATCTAAAAAGCGGAGTTAGAGTATTTCAGAAAACATTCACCGTAAGACTCTCACTTAATTCCTAAACCAGGGTTAAAGAGGTGCAGCTGGGGTTAAGGGAATGTCTGAATTAGCAAAACCACACATCACACTAAAATAGCTATGCTAATGCAGTCGTGTTAACTAGAACAAAAGCGTAACCGGTCTAAACTAAAAGCAGGTACTTGGTCGGTGTTAAGGACAGATATACACTTGTGCCTTTGCCTTCATGTTCTGGTTTGAAATTTCATCCTGGGATGAAACATTCATGAAGTATCTACTATGTAAGGAAAATGAACCATGTAAGAAAATAATCCATATGTTAACTTAAGAATATCATTAAATTATCTAGAGGTATTTGAGGAATACTTGAATTAGACCTAGGAAGTGAAGAGTGAGTTAGTTTGTAATTATCAGAAATTTTAATGCAACCACAGACATCTAAGAATTGATAAGGCCATGTTAGATTAAGAGGTATCCAAGTGTGTTATACGTTACACATGCAACCATCCCAGAATTAGAGTCAGGACAACTGTGAGGGTTCTCTGGCATTAAGATAGTAGTAAGGCCTTTAAATATTAGTTGGTTTAAATTAGTTGTTAAAGTTATGGAATTTAATGGAATTGTGAAAGACCAGGAGGGAAAAAAAAAGAACAAAGAAATGGTATTACTGAAGTAATCAAAAAACAGAAATGATGATTATAAAACTGTTTGCAATGAAAATATAAAAAACAAAATCAACAGAAGTAAAACATAAAAGACAAGGCAATGCTGTAAGAACTGATTGGAAACCTGATACCACAAGTTTATATACAAAGGGATAGACTTTTTTTTTCTAGAGTAGTAAATCTAATAAGCAAATTCATCAGGCAGCTTTTAAACTTCATCTTTTATGTGCTGAAACTAGTAATTATGGACAAGTACTTTGTCATGCTTTTCTGCTTGTGGCATTTGAGTGAATTGTCACCTCACAATCCTTTCCACATTACATTGCAATTGAACAAAAGGGGCAGCGAAAGCCTCCTAGATAGAATTTTGGTAACAGGATATTTGCCATCTGTGAGGTTTTTTTTTTATTATTATTATTTTTGTTTTTGTTTTTTGATATCATGAGGGTGACCCTCAAAATTCTCTGATATTCAGCAGGCTCTCAGTGTCTCCAGGCAGAAACCAACACAGATTAGATTGTCTGAGTGGCTGTTTCAAGGGCTGTGTCTTGGGCAGGAATGTACTCAGACTTAACCACAGGACAGCAAAGTCACTGTAGCCAGCAGTGCTAGAGGAAGGCACCTGCAGTCCTGAGTTTCACCTCTGAGAGCCATGCTAGGAGTCAGGTTTCCATGCAGTTAGAGATGAGGTGCCTGGCCAGGCCTTACCCTTTGGGATACCTGATATAGTATCAGTAAAATCAGAAGTGTATGGGTCATCTTGAACTACAAATTTCCGGGAGCTCGTCAGTTTAGGTCTCCAGGTATCAACCACTTTAGATGTAATTTCTGGGCTACTTGCCACAGTGGCAACAGAAGATGAAGATACCTCCATGTCTGTGGTGGCAAACAGATGTCCATTAACATGGCTATCGTCAGAAGTGTTTTCTGATTGCTTTGTTGCATTTTAAAGTCAAGTAAATGATCTGAGAAATCCTATCCTACAATTTTATAAAAGCACACCTGGAGTGGGGGGTTGGGGGGAACTAGACCAAATCCTGTTTTTGTAAGAGAGGCATAAAAACTGAAAGTTGACAGCAAAGACATATTATGCATATCTCAAAAGTAAAGATACTTGAACATTCCTAATTGAAGCCTCCTCATGGGAAGGTAACATGAGTCCCAACTCAGGCTAACTCTGCATCTCTCCAGCTCTTGGGGATCATTTAATTGATTTGTAATATGAATTGTACAGAAGTCATTTGTGAATGGTTGGATTCTATACCATTCCCTTCACTGGAGAAGCTACAATGGAATTACATTTAGAAAATACCTGGTCAAGTCCAAGCATACTGTTGATTTTGGACCTGATAAACCAGTTCTGCCTAAGAGGCCTTTATGGTCCTCCACAGCCTTGAGTGCCTCTGTAGATGTCTCATGGCACTGAGCCTCCATCCACAGTGCAGCACAAACCTTGTAGTGTTCTCCGGAAGGCCTGGGGAGTTTCTTCCAAAGAGCTAGCAGTAACTCATGCACAAGCAATGGCATCTACACACTGAATAAGGATGCTGGGATACATGAGATCGGTCATCCTTTTCTACCCCCACCCCCACCCCCCGGAGGGATGAATCTGATGTAAGCCCTAGAAGTAGCATATACCAAAGAGCAGCTGAACCTTTCTGTATCTATTACCAGCTTTAACCTAGACTTCCATGAATACATAAGCATATGTATAGACTGATCCAACAGTTACAGGTAGAGACTTCTAAACAAACACAGACAGATGTGCGTGGAGACCCCACCGTACATCGTCGCACAAAATCCAGCTTCATTCAACTGAAGCTTCTTTCACGCCACTGAGAACACAACATTCCCGGGATTGCCACAAAAACATTCAAAAAAGATCTTTAAAACTTAGAAATACACATTTTTCAAAAATGTGTATTCTTCATTCCTTGATTTTATGAAAGGTAGGAAGAGAAGGGGGAAATTATGCAATCCGTCATCCATGGAGTATAGATGGCCAGAGGGAGCATTCACAATGCAAAGGGTCGAGAGAGAAGGAAGCTGGGCGGCCGGCGTGCAGCTGAAATGCAGTGTACGTCAACCCATTTGACTTTTCTTAGGGATGTGCCTTGGTCAATGATGAATCATTAACATGCTACACATGGGAGGGCTGAGTAAGAAGACAACTCTCAGGACCTTCAGGGGTTATGAGTCAAAGCGGAAAAATGAAGGGCTGCCAAACTGCGCAAAAGGAGGGGGAGAGGGGCTGAAAATGCTGAACTGAAGGAAAGAAAAGATTGTTAATTCAAAAAAATTAAAAAAACTAACCAGATGTTGGACCGCCAAATATTTTGTAATCTGGTGTAGTTGAAGTAGGCAAACTTTCTAAAGGGATTAAAGGAACAAGTAATCAGTGAAAAGTAACTGAAAGAAAGCAAAAAGTTTATGAATTCCAAGTAATAGAAAAAAGTCAAAAGGAAAGACTACAAATTAAAAGTCTACTGGTTAGACTGCCTTTCTCTAGACTGTGTTTTTACAAAAGTTCAAATGGTGAAGGAAAAGAAAGATTCAGAACCTTTTCTAATGGACCCCCATGAACAAACAGCTCAGCTTTTGGGAAGTTTAAGTTAAATGCTAGGTGGTATGTGTCCCGAGTCATTACAAAGGCTGGTTGTAAAATAATGTTTGCGTGCAAACATAGTCAAAAGAAGCAGCTGGCGGGAAGGGATGGGTCTATCTTACCATGGCAGTCCCCTAGGTGGGCCGTGTTGCCGTACTCTGTATCTTGCTCATATCCTCCAGCGCTGTGGTTATGGAAAGCAAAGAAGTCTTCAGTTAACAGCCTTCATAGGGACACAAGGGACAACCAGGACAGAGCCAAGAACACAGACTGGTTAGTGACAGTAAGCAGAGAGAATACACTGACGATTCAACAAACTTGCTATAGGAACTACGTGTTAGTTTATGGAGGATTGTCTGAGAACGAAACCTTCTCTCTCCAAAATCCACTGCCCTCAGGGGTTCCTGTGTCTAAATCTTGTTTCCCTTTCAAATTTTAGATTTTTCTTTTTTTAAAACTTTTCCCCATACCAGAAAAAGAAATGAAGGAAATGAAAAGCTGTGTACTGGAAATTTACTTTTTTTTTTTCAGGTGTTCATACCCTGGGAGAAGACGGTCAGGTGGTCCAGTGTACTTACAGCATCCCTAGGGTCACTCTCTCACAAACTCCCTGGCTTAACCAACCACAGTACGGGTCACGTGATGCAATGCAAGACCTGAAGAGAACCAAAACAAACTGTGATGTGGATTTTCTTAACAGCATGGGAGGGATATGCCACTGCAAGAGCTGGAGGGAATAAAGAAAGGCGGGCTTACTTTTTACAGGATCCGTAGCGCTCACAACGACTGAGGGGGATGCGGACAACACAGCTGGAGAAGGCCACATATAAAGCGTGGTGATCTTTGTCCAACTGTAAGGAGACGACCTTTCTGTCCTCCTCACTCTCAGCGCTGCACCTATTTTGTGGGCACATTTTGAAGACATGCATTGATGTCAAACCCGCACCAACTACACATGAGGTGTGATCTGGCAGCCAAGCAAGCCCAGTGCCTAATTAAGAAATAATAATTATGGGATACAGTTCTATGCTTTTGCTTAGCTGGTTGCATTTCAAACTGGACAAAGGTAAAAATTGCTTTCCTGGTGGAATGGAAGAGTGTGTTGGATTCTAGACAAAGAGATGGATGCTATGCTAATGTGTTTAAATCCTCCCACACTGGAGGCCTCGGGTGGCTGTCTCATGCGCTCTATTTCCCCCACTTCCTTCTTGTGTTTGAATTGCCCCAACAATCTCAGTTCCCTGGTTAGAACAAAATGCTAAACTCTAAGTATACTCTGTGTGCACGCTTACAACCAACTGTGCCATACACAGCATCCCGAAATAGATCTGCAAGGTAAGATGGTGCTAAGATGTTCTCATTTTTCACAGGTGAGAAAGAAGGGCTGACTTATTTTTAAACTCATCAGCTGTTCACCCTCCTTGCCCTTGTAAGCTTACAAAAACAAACAAGGATGAAAAGGTATTTCAGCGGGAAGATAAATAACAAAGGAAACCCAAACAGAACCTGTAAAAAGCACCACTAATTTAGAGGTCTGACAGGAAATGGCCAGATGAGATGCACACCAGGCATTTTTTGAGCAGAGCTGAAGAGATTTCTCCTCAAACAGACTTACTTGGCTTGGTTGTAGGCTTCAATCTCTTCCAGCAATACACTGTCATTCAAAGAGAAAGGACTGGTCTTTGCCAATACTTTAAGCACGACACCGGCTTCAGAGCCAACAAAGATGACTGTGTAGTTCTGGAAGGGCCCTGCCGAATGGTCCACTTCGATGGCCGTCAACCTGTACCTAGCAGAGGAAAGAGGCAAGTCAGACCAGGAGGCCAGTGACTGGAGAACTGTGCAGTAGATGGAGACTACCTATAGACTCACCTGACCCGTGTCTTTGTGAACCAGGGCTCGTCAGCAATGGGTGGAACAGCAGAATCCATTAGGGGATGGGACTTGATGAAAGACAGGGTCTCATCTGGGAAGTCGATGGAGGTTTTGTAAGCTTCTGCGAGGCCATGTTTGGCACAACAGCCAGGCCTGAAATGAAAACAGTGACCTTCAATCATTCTCTCACATAACTAACTGTATTGAAGGAGTACGCATGCATTCTATAGAAAATAGGTCAAGAGAAAAGAATGACAGCAAAGCCAGAGGAGTAATATCACCTTCCAGAATTCCATGGGCCCTACAGATCTACATGCAGAGTATAACACTATACCACTTATTGGCTTTGTTGGGGCTGCCTCAGAGGGACACTGTGTGGGGCAGTAGGATGGATAGATAGATGACAGATGGTTCCAGTGTTCACGGTGGTTTTGTTCAATACAAAAACCTCTCGACTCTTCTCTTTACCTTGGTTTTGGTACTTTGTCTTCTGGAACTGCTGTCCAAACAGAGTCTGGGGTTTTCTGTTCTTTGAACCGTCCTTTGAACACTTTCTCAATGTCGTCCATGCTAAAGGCACAGACTGCAGAACCAGGAATGCTGAAAAATGAGTAAATTGTGAGGAAGAGGCTGACAATGGGGGCCATGCCAGGTTCTAACAAGGAGTACAAAGGACCTCTGGGAGGACCAGGGTCCTCTTGTTCCCACCTGTTGAGCTGCGTGGTGAAGACCCCAATCACAGTGGGGACCCCGTTGATCTGGATTATGTCTGTGATGGACTGCAGAACGTCGAAGTAGAAAAAGGAATCCCCAGGGACAGAGCAGTTAAGTCGAGCCTTCAGGAAGGAAGTCCAATGTTTCTCCAGGACCCGCTGAGAGCCACCCATGTCGTTTTTACAAATGCGAGCCACGCGGGAATACACAGCCTGCCGGGAGACAAAAGCCAAGCGATGGATGAGGTTATGAGCACAGCAAAATGCTGCTTCTTAAGGCAGGGATAAAACCAAACCCAAACAAACAAAATAGATGTCTGGCTCACAACAAGTTTCCCCCTCACTGGGCTTCCACAAAGTAAGAATGTACTGAAGATGTTTTTCCCACACTGCCAAACATGCTCCCCGAGACATGAGCTATCCATCTTCCTTACTGAATGAAAATCATGTCTGTACTTCTGTCTCTAACTTTTTCCATTACTTCTCATATTATTAATAAAATGTGCGGTCCTTGAATGTGGTCACAGAAGAGGCTACTACTGTACTTAAGGAGTACATGGGCTTCTATAGAAACACTCTAAATTGAACAGGAAGGGTTCCCATTCTCCATTCTGCTTTTGACATTGGCAATGATGACACCATCAATAGCTTTCTAAAGAATGAAAAGGAAGCCTCCACTTTCTATGGTGATAGAAAGAAAAATATGAAAGCGTTTGAAAGCCTGAGGAGGCAGCTGTTCCCATTCTGGGCATTGTGAGGTGTTTCCCAGACGTCAACTGAACAGTCAGCAACCCAGTTCCCTTACTTGGCTTTCTCTGCACTGAAGCAAGTACTCTGAAACAAGACAGGAGAGCACCCATCATTCTACCAAGGGGTGCGATTCCACGCAGTTTAAGTCCACAGTGTATATCAAGCATGTATACTTGCCTTGCCTAAGTTATTATGCTCCACAGCAATTTCTCTGAAGAAGAAATAGACATAGTTTCCATATTCTATGGCATGAAGAAAGTGTGGTTCTGAAAGAAAATTGAAAACAAACCATTCTTAAAGGGTGATTCAATTAGTGTTAAGACCCCAGTTGCATGACTACCCTTGGAGCAACGATTTCAGGCAGTCCCAATATGGGTGTGTTCAAGCTTCAGGGAGCCTGTGTCTTTCAAGTCAGCTAATGGACTGTAAAAGGCCCACAGGGAAGTGATCTACAGCAAAGGTCTTTGTTTCAACAGATTTATTCATTAACCTATTAACTGGGAAGAAAATCTCATATTGAGATAAAAAAATTTTTTTTTCAGAATCTAAAGAACAAAATGACTTTATAAATGTGAGTTTATCTGTCCTCACTACTAATGTTCTAGCATAGGTGATGAGCCTGGGAAGGTATTATTGTGTGCATTTGGAGTTAGACAAACTGCCACATTACACAAGGTCCTTAGTTCTTGGGTTTTGCTTTGACCACTTGCATAACTGCTTGGATGAACTTATTCCCTGACATGTCTGCTTGGCTGACCATTTCCTGTCAGTGCCCCATTCATAAGCAAAACACCACATGCTTACTCTAGATGAACAATTCAAAGTCACACCCTGAACTTCCTGGTGGCCTCAGCTATTCCCACTTAAAGCCTTGTAACCATCCCCCCAAACCCAATGGCATTGCCCCTCATAGGTACCTTTGATCCATTTGGAATCATATTTTATTGTGCGAAGGGCAGATCCATCACCCATGCTTCTATAAATGACAGCATCACTGGCCAGGAAATCAGCCACTGTGGCAGAATACAGTTTCCCATCTGAAACCAAAGTTATCATTTAGTAAAATAACCATAATTACCTATGGTATGTTAGCTAGGCTACCTTCTGCAGGGTTTCACCTGTCACCAATATCTATGCAATAAACTATATCTGTGCTCACCCTCAACCTTTAACTGGCTGTCCTATGGTATTACCTGATTTTACAGATGAGGGACCTAAGAACCAAAAATTAAACAATGTTCGGGGTCAGTGGCTTAGTTAATGACAAGCCAGGTGTGAGAATACTTACCCCAGTCAATGAGATACTCCTGTTTATTTTTTTGTTTGTTTGTTTTCATATATTCTTCCTAAAAATTTGTTTTTTAGGCTTTTGAAGCCTTTGAAATGCTTATGTCAAACTATCTATCCAAAGCATGAGCCTTTTTCTTTCTTTAAATGCTTTTGTATCTTCAGTGTCATTAATCATTGATATTCAATATACCACAGCTTCTTACCGGCAAAGAGGGCAACATTGGTTTGTCTGGCATCAAATGGGCATCGTGCCAGGCCGCTAATTTCTTCCCCATCATACTCTAAGGTATTCAACTGCAAGAGAGAGAGAGAGAGATAAAAAAAAAAAAGGAAAATAGCAGGTGTCACATCTGTTCAATGTACTTGTTTGAAGGCAATATTGCTTTATTTATATTGAAATTCTATTTGAGGGATTCTGTTCTGTTTTCTCTTATAACATGAGAGATAAAAACAAATCGTTGGGTTACAGCAGAGAAGATTCAACTCTAATAGCAAACCAGTGAAAGAAAATACAGTTGAAGGGAAAATATTCATCATATAAAACATACTTACCCTGTAGTATCTACACATTGGGTTGAAAGCATTGGTACCACAGACGAAAACCATCTCATCATTTCTTGGAACAAATACTTTGATGAAGTTGTGGCACTCATCCTAAAGGAAAAACAATTACAGACTCTCAGACATCTCCTATGCTGATGTTATGGTGACAAGCCTACAAAGAGGGGACACAGCAGGCACCCATCCGCTGCACTCACTTTATGCTTGCCTTTCATAGCACAATTTTCTCGATCCTGTTGTCTGGACCTCCATGTCAGCTTCTAGATTAATCAAGTAAAATCAAAGTTCAGTTTTAAAAGGATGCACATTTGGAGCGGGCATTACTGAAGCTCAGAGGGAGTGTGAACACATTTGTCCTCTGTGGCTAGCGGCTCACCTTGCTTGGTATGACCTCTGTTTTGGGGATTTCATTTAAGTTCACTGTATAGACTTGATCTCTGTTGGAAACAAGGCAGTAAGTCATATCACGTGAATGCATAAATGCTAAGCTGTTTCTTATGTCATCTTTACAGCTCTGCCATTACTGTTCTTGGAGGATGATCAGGCTCTTCTGACTTGAACGGAGTTAACAAAGAGTACTTTTTCATTAGGGAGATACTGTCCGTGAATCACCACAGTCAAGGAGCAAAGGATGACCTTCCCTCCAGGCTTAGAGTAAAATGACTGAGTATTAGCATGGGTATATTTCTGATATTTGCTTGAATAATTCTAAGTTAGAAAAGAATAAAGAATGATCCCCCCCCCCTGCTGCTTTAGGACAAAAGAATGAAGTGTGATTTCTGGATGTGTCACAGAGGGCTGTAGCTCTGTATTCTGTACCTGGTACCCAGCATGCTCTTCATGGAGAGTATTTTTGGCTACTTGCAATTCTTGATCACAATCACATATTAGTTTTTCATGAACTAGACACATTCATGCAAGCACCACAAGAGAAAAGAATTTTAATCTAATAAACCAACGGAAGGAAAATTACCTGCCAGCAATATAAAGTGTGTCTCGAATTTTCAACATCAGCTGAAAGTCCAGCCTATGCTGGGATTCGTTGCCTGAAGGGCGTCCTCTAAAAACCGGATATTGCCTTGAATCTGCAAGTAAAAATGGGCTAAACTATCAGTCAGGATTACAGAGCTGAAGAATCAATAGATAGCATTGATTAGCTGTATATAGTACTTGTAGGAAGGGTTTTAACTAAATTCCTCTCTTAAGGTCTTGAATATAAATTAGTAAAAGATGGAGAATGTCAGCAAATGGTCTTTTTCTTTTTTACTGAAAATATGTAATTTCTATGTATGCAACAGAACTGGCTCTGTTTCTGCACAGCCAAGGAAAGGAATGCAAATGATTTAATGTGAAAACATTGTAAAGACATATGAAAATTGGTCTCTGGTGCTGAAAATGAATATACATAGAACAAAACATATATAAAGCTTCCTTTGTAAATAACAACATGGCTTTGGGTGACTTACAGTGATAATCAACAGTGTTAAGGGGCTCGTCGTCTTCAGGGAAGCTGACTGCCCGTAACCTGGAGACCAGGAGGAACAGCACGCAGAAACAAAGCAGAAAAAACCTCATGGTTGGCCAAGAAGAAATCTGAGGGCCCTCCTCAGAAATCCCGCCTAGCTACCTGGAAGACAAAAGCATGGAAAGACCTTTAAGCTATGGTAAAATTGGTCTCTCATTTGTAGATGATTGTAATTTTTGCCCACCTCTTTCCATAGCTTCCTATTTACCAAGACACCTGGCAGTAACAGACAGGTACCTCCAAGAACAGACAGAAGGCAGCTTCAAGCTGGGCCCGGCTAAAGCACCTAGTAAGCATATTGATACTTTAGGTTCATTTGCCAGAATATGGGAGGCAATTCTGTGTCATCGCAGCAAAATCACCAGAACCACAAACAGAAGTGTTGGCTGCTGACTTGGCAAGGAAGTAGGCAAAGTAGGGATCAGAATTTTAATTAAACTCCAATTTGCATCCTTCCCCTAGTCCTGAAACACATAGATACAACACGTCTCTTCCTCCCTCAAAAGGCCCAAAGTGCCTTGAAAAGCTAGAGCTGACGACTTTGCCCTCAGCCACTGACTTTTTGCGTTAAGGGCTGCTAAATATCTAGCATCGAATAAGCCGCTGTCCTACACCTTCAAACAGGTGTTTTGAAAACCAGCATGAAAAAAGTGATTAGTGACCTTGCACTAGGGTGAAAGGGATTGAAAAGAAATAGGACGATTTCATAAAAACTGATCGATAAAGCAGAAGGTGACAGAGTATGACATCTGGTACTCAGTTGCTAGGGACACTGACAGTCTAACATAAAACCATTCAGACAAGAACCAATGTCCGAAGTACAGGGTCCTCTTCGCTTTATTGGAATTTGAGCTGTAGGAGGCCTTAAGGACCATCAGTTCTAACACCCTCCTTTGTTAGATGGGAAAGCTAAAGGTTGGTAAAAAAAAAACTGAATTCACTCTGACTTTCATGGTGCCTCGAGGGCAAGGCTGGAATCCAGGACAGTCAGCTGAGTCCCTGACCAGACTCTGTGCTCCAAACTGGACTGAGAAAATAAATGGGTATTTTTCCTTCAAACAGATGGCATTACAAAGAGACTTTTGAGAGCAGTGGGCTATATTCATCATTTTTATTGAAGTTATGTTTCACAGATATTAAATCACACATTAAATATGTACAGTTACTGTAGATCAATATCCCAATAAAACCGTGAAAACAGAACAGAGTTAAAAGATCTGTAAATGTTAGCAACTCATTGATAAAATAAATTGGGTTTTCTGGGCCAGTGGGAGAGGCACTTCTGTGAGATTCCAACGGTGTGGCTTTTCAGCAGGGCTGTCTTTTAACAACCAAAGCTGTCACTTTCAGTGACCCAAAAAAAAAAAAGCCTCCCTCTGTATCCCTAAGAACAGTGGGGCAAATTATTAGTAGCCATCTCAAATTCTGAAGAATACAATCACTCAATAAATTAAAAAATGTGAATATGCACAGCACACTGTTTAATTTGAACTAAAGTGTAAGCCATACATGAGTAAAAATATTCATATATGAGTAAAACTGTAGTTTAAAAACAGGCCTAGTTTTATATGGAAAGAATTATGTTTTAATAAAATCTTTGTTAATAGATAATGAATCCAGCAGTAAGTTAATAAATAAAATTGTTTTCCAAAAACTATGGGTGAATGAAAATAATGACAGTCCCACTCTGGTACTCAAGCCTGTGACTGGGTGGAATTCTACCATGGCTGGCCAACTGACCCCGGGGAATTGGCCTTCAAGGTCCAGGAGAATTAGCCTCCTTATCTATAAAACATGGAACTAGCATCTCTTCTCTTCAGGGTAAAAAAATGAATAAATGCCTATAGAGTCTGAGCATAGTTAACACTGTGCACAGCCAGGTTGACCACAAGAGTCCAAACAAGGTCTGGTGAAAAGCCGTGCTAAGAACTGATGGCAATTACAAATAAAAGGCCATTTAAAAAATACCAAAGGACTGGGTCTAGAATAAATTTTGCAGCTAATAGCTACTCATATTCTCTTGGGAATTTTACCAATCCAAAACCTTGACTGTATTGACTTGTTCTAGTATTTCTGCCTTGAATATTTTCAGTTGTGAAGACACCGCTTTATTCCCTTTGCCACATCTTCTGAAGCAGCTTCTCCCACTCTTGGTCCTTATGTTTTCTGACTGTCAAGACCCCGGACAATTCTAGCACCCTAAAAAGACTAATGATGCTCTAAGCACCAAGTTTGGTTGTGGCTCTAGTCCCAAACTGCATCTTCTGGGTAAAAAGTCACTTGGCTCGCTCTTCCCAGAATCACGAAAAAGGACCTCAAATACTCATTGCTCCTAAAGGAATGTAGAAGGATGTGTATAAAAACAGAAGGGAAGGATATGTATAAAAACAGAAGTTCTGTGAGGCTTTCTTTCACAGCTCACACCAGCCAGGCTCACACCAGCCAGGCAGCATCTGTGTTTCCCAGCATCGGAAGCAGTGCTCATCCACAAGAACTTAAGCCAGGTCATGCTGATTCAGAGCTAGCCCATAGCTATGGCTGAGTTGTTACATCCTTAGAACCACATCTGACACATGGAGCACTTCTCCCCAAACTCTGCCCTAGGCCAACCTAATCCTTCAAAAATCAAGTCCCACAACACGCTTTCTGCCCAGGAAGAAAGCTTTATTAACAAGAATAACGATACAATTTTACAGCAGTACTGTTGATGCTATATACATGGTATTTGTTATTATACATTTAGCAAAGAAGAGGGTTGTGTGTATTGGGGGTGTGCATGCAGAAAGCATCTGGATGTCCATTCGAAAAATGTACTATATAGGAGAATGATCTATGTAGAAATCCTTCAAGTTATTAAGATTTTTGAGACACAGTGTCACTATGTGTCCTAGGCTAGCTTTGAGCTCACTAAGTTATCCAGCTGGCTTCACAGCTTAGTCTCCTATCTGCTGGAATTAGAGATGTGTTACTCCATGTCTGTCATGCTAGGGCTCAGGAATCAGGACACTAGTCAGGTGACAAGTCAGACGAAATGCTGGAGAGGATGCAGACTGCAGGCTAGAAAAAGCTGACATTTGCCTGTGACATCTACTTCCTGGCTCTGAATTTGACTTATTTTACCAAATGTAAAATAGGAGCTACTGTCTTTACCATCTCATTGGTCCTTCTGGGGGTTAGATGAAATAACCCATAGATGACATCTAACACTACCTGATCGACAGCAAAATTCTAGTAGGTTTTTAGTAACTATTACGATTCACTGTTTCATCTCATTAGGCAACCAAAATGCGAAGGCAATCAATCCCCTTTCTCCCTTTAGGTAGGACCATTTTAAAATCCTGATGTGGTGGCATTGCCACAACGATGGGGTTTTCCTGCAGGACAAGGTCCAGTTCCATAAATGCTGATACCTCCACAGAGTAAGCTCATAGAGAGAGCATCCTTGGTGGGGTCACTCTGTCTAGCTAGAGAGCAGTGATACACAAATACAGACATTTGGTGGCTATATTGCCATTGAGTCAAAAACACAAAACCAAAACCAAAAATCAAGCTCTTAAAACGAGCTCCCAGCTGCTGGAAACCCAGTGGCTGAGTGGCAGCGTCCACAAGAGAAGACAGGTGCAGGGACTGAACTCCACAGTCACACCTGAGTTTTACCCTATGGGATAGCTAATTTTTAAGGTCTATACAAACGAGAACACAACTAGAAAGAAAAACAATGTTCTTGACAGCCTGAAGGGTAATATGTATCAAAGACTGCAACCACTAAATATCAAAAAGCCATCACTTATAGCCCAGAAAAGCGGTCTCACAGGAAAGTGGAGAAACGGGAGAGCAAAGCTTCAATCCACCCAGCCCAATCTTCAGCAGTCTAACCTCCAGACTGATGGCTGTGGAGTTCTCCCATCCTATCTGTTTTCAAGAAAAGAGAAGGCAATCTTGTGCTAGACTCCTTTGAGATTAAACCATTCCATCCTGCAGGGGAAATCCTTAAGCAGGGAGGTCAACAACAACATAGCTTCCAGAATACCCTGAAACTGACCAGATTCACTGCCCTCCTCCCAGCCAGAGAAGGCAGAGGGCCTTTGCAAGGAAGACCAAGAGGAGGACAGCAGCACGGAAGACTTGGCCGCCAACAAGAATAGCTGCCTGGACAATGTTTAGAGCAACCTGGAAAAAACACTCTCCAACCTGTTGAGCTGAATGCAGGCTGTGGAGTGAGCTCCAGGTTCCCAACTTTTGTAGGCTGTCCCCCATGCTAGTGTGAGCTTTGGTGATGCAACTGTCTTTGAGTCACTTATGTTGCTGTAAGGAAGCAACCCCTCACCCATATTCCTGTAAGCAACCACAATAAAATTCATTGGTTCACCAATCTGGACTTTGGAGCTAACCATACTTTGGTCTACTGTAGGTTCCCTATCTGGGGTGAGAAGAGAAGTGTGTTTCATTTGCCCAGGAAAAATTTTGTCACACAACAGATAATAAATAACACATTACCCAGTCCCCTAACGATAACTTTTACACAATGTTCAGTATTGAACACCCATTACTGCACATTCCAACCTTATGTGGAGACAAAATAGCAAATCTAGGTCTATGGATAAACTATACATTAGAGTTATCAAGCATATGCTCAAAAAATAATGGTGTTTGAAAGACAGATACAGGTGGACTCTATGATGTAAGGCAAGTCTGGTCTACTTAAGAATTATAAGCTAGTCAGGGCAACAAGTGAGAGCCTGTCTCAAAACAAACAAATAAACAAACAAACTAACAACAAACCTGGCAGATTTTATCTAAGGATAAAGATGGCAAAGGGAATTCCACCAAAGAACCAGAATTGATAAAGCAGAATCAAGTGGAAATTATACAGTAAAATCAATATGTAACTAAAACTTCTTAACTGTAGTTAGTAAAGGATTGGTTATCAGACAGAAATATGGAGAGATGAAACACTGGAAAAAGCAAATCAGAAAAGTAAAAACAAACAAACAAACAAAACACATGGTATTTAGAGAGAAAAACATCAGAAGGAATATTTAACAAAATAGTGTCAGTATTTTTTCCAAAATTGACAAAAGACTGTAAGCTACCCATTAATA